GGTACGAGGGTTTTCTTTTTCTGTGTGTTCGTTCTCCTTTAAGTCCACTCTTTTACTCCACAGAATTTACAATCTAACGAGAGTGAACGGAACACGAACCTACCAATATCAACAGCAACATTTTTTTCATTAATAAGCAGCATGCTCTGTCTTGTCCGATCACATTCATCTCGCCCCCAGTACACACGACCACGCTCCCGAGACACGCTTCAATTGTTTGTCGTTGGTGAAGCAATGTTGACCCCCAAATGCTTGTCTAGTACATTCTTAAAAGCCTGTGACAAATAAAATTTTTTGTCCATGTGAATCTTCAAAGACTTTTACGATGATGAGGTCTTTTCTGCATCAACTAGTCAGATTAAATTTCTGTGGTTCTGCTATATAAATACTCTCACCAAGGTATCTCACGTTACAAGTACCAATCAAAAGTGACCCTAAATTCTGTGTCAGGATGCACCCAAAGCTTTATTTGTGAAATGATATTTGACCCAACAAAGAGATGATGCTAGAGATTAATGTAAACGGGTTCATGCAAATATTAGCAGGACACGGAAAAATTTCTCTTGTTTGAATTTACGATGGTTCACACTCGAAAAAGTGATGCTAGGGAGCATACCTGAAATGCAAAAGCCTCTTTCCTACTTAATATAATATCCATCGCTGCTGATTCATCATCGAAGGCACCATAAAATTCCCGATAGAATTGGTTCCTAAGAATTGGAAAGAGAAACAGAAAGACAAATAGCAAGTTACTCTGCAGTTTCAAAGAATGGAAATAAAAACAACAATGCTTCAGAACAAACCTATCTTCTTCACCCGTCTCTTGGTCAATCTCATCAAACTTCTGTGTTAGGACTTCCGCAGCAACAGGTGAGAGCATGTGGAGAATTAACGCTTCTAAGGTTCTTGGGAAATACCGCTGAAATGTGAGTTACATCATATGAGCACGTAAATACAAAGAATTTCACCTAAAAACTCCACGTAAACCTAAAAATGTTCTCCATTTTGACCAAAATAAGGAAGTGCGCTAGAAGCAAATGAAATGTTATAGTATTATATATAACCAGAGATGAAGCTGCAAAGTAACAAATATTTTATGGTAACCTAACCCCAGCTTCAGCAGAACCATGTGAGGATATATACAGGAAAAAGTGCATTTTAGAGTAAACTTACTGCCATTGCAAGGAGAACATCCCGAAGTCTAGATGCTTCAAGATTCCAAAGCATATGGGCAAAATGATCGTCTTCTAAACAAGACGACACATTCACTAGGATCTTGCTATTGCCACTCTCTGAAGCTGGGTCTGAGAAACTGGGGGAAGTGTGCTGCAGTCCCTTACTTATATCAACGGCATTAACATGGTCATGGACTAAAGAAATAAGCTCATGAAGTGCCTGGCAAGCAGAAGGTTCTAGATCCTGCAGTGACGTTCTTTCTTGTAATGATCCGAGCCCTTTTTTAGTGCTTTCATTGCTTGAAATATCATTCACACCTTCTGCAGTCATTGCATCAAAATCCATCACCGGCCAAGTCACACGAACAATTTAAGGTTTTTTCAGGATTTACAACATCAGGGTCTTATTACCTGCCTGCCAAGTGTGAGATTGGTCAATACGCTCAGACAGTTGCTTCAAATCAGTTGAAGAAGGCTTTGAAACTAAAAGGCTCTGTCAATATCCATGTTACACGGGTAAACAGAGGATAGTAAACTTGGTAAATGAATCAAAGGTGAAAGGGCAAACATACATTTTAAACTCAAAATCAGGATGAGTAAGAAAAATATCATAACTTCCAATACTGATGAGACAGAATAACTTACACACCATTTCTCTGTCTATCAATCTTATTATATGACACAAGATGCAGGCACATGCAAGGAAAAAAGAGAACAGAAATTAGGGAACAAAACAAAATGGTAATGCAAAAAGATATTATGCATAAGCATCAAAGGTTTGTAATCAAGACCTTCTTGTAATTCGGCGCAGATAATATGAATCCATATGTTCAGCCAAGTTAGACATAATGTTTGATTGCCACCAAAAGTTGACAGCAATAGTCAGCTCATCACTATCCACCTGATGGAACCTGCATACGTAAGATGCTACTCAATCTGAAGTAATGCATCAATCGGTCTACTGATTACTGAATGATTTCAAATATATGAGCTATATGAGCCCTAAGTAAAGTATCAATGCTTCGATACTTGGCATTATATTACAAGGTACTCCTAATCAACGAATAGTGACTTTCATTAGCTTGATTCTGAGTAATCTAGCCAATTGGAAATGACATTTCAAGGGTTTTGTTTGTGTCTAGAATTAAAAACCTAAAGGACCTCATGTCATAAGCATCTGAATCAGAGGCTCTAGGCATATGCATACTACATGACATAAGATATATACAAACCCACACACTAAAGAAATGCCAGTTAGTCAGGCAGAGACACTTTAGAGATTTTTTTGCATATATTATTGGAATAACTGCAAAATCTACAATAGCGGTTCAACCCGAAAAAACTACATAACAGAGACATGATAGCTAGCAGTGATTAAGAAAGACAGTTCCGACACATATGACGCATGATATCTGAATTTCAGCTTATTCTGAACTGCAAAGTTATGCACTACTAGGACAGCTTTTATGAGGGAATATGAATATACTCACCAACCTTCAGGAATGAATACTGCATCACCAGCGTTAAGAGTAACCTCCTGTGACTGCTTGAGGGAATGCTCTGCTCTTGGATAATCTGATAAATTCAGATTTTCTAGACCAACCGAACTACATGAACAACAAATATAAAATGCAATGAAAATTCTTGCAAATAAACATTGGCATAGAAAAATCTTAGATAAGTTTGCAATCGCCTTTAAGGTGTAGTTATTGCAGCGCAAGCTCAGGTTGCAACCACAAAGCAAATTGTACGGAAAGGCCAAGAATGATACCTATGATTTGACGCTTCTCCATATATAGGCATTGGATAGAGTGAGGGGCTGGCGGAAGGGGGCCACAAGACAACTGTTGATGATTTTGAAGGTTAAGATAGATTTAGATGTAAGAAAACAGACA